CCCATATACACACTTTTTTTTTTTTTCATTCTACCTTCTTAGGTCGCTTTATTACACTCATTTAGTATGCACTAGCTATTTATCTCTGCTAGTCCCTTTAGACAGTGAGCTTCTTTGGAGAAGGGATTAAATTTCTCTTGTTCAAAGTTGTACCTCCAGTATGTAGTACAGCGACTGGCATATAGAAGGTATGTTAGACTGGATCCTCTGAGAAGAAGATACCAATTGGATTCATATCTAATCCAATATGCAATAGATGAGCAAGGGATTTATTGGGGGAAAACACTTATAAAGGAAAATGAGGAGGGAACTGAAGGAGGCCGGAAAAGCCATCAGATCATGGTGCAGGTCTGACGCTTGTGGAAGAGAGAGGAAGGGAAGGAAGGTTGAGGAGGAGGAATCTTAGACAGCAGTGCAGTTTTAAGAAACTTTGGAAAGGTGAATTGGGAGTCCTCAAGCCAAAGTCCCTGTGAGCAAACTCCTGTATTATAGGACTTAGTATCTTTGCCATGCTCAGTCATTGGCTGGGAGCAGACCCAGAGAATGTGGCTTAGGCACAATGTGGTGGTGAATTCAAAGGGCAGCAGCTGGGACCATTAGTCAATACACTCCCCATAGTAGGAGATCTGAGATGCCCATTTTCACAGCAGCGACAGAAGATCAACAAATGCTAATTCAATAAAGAGTTTGAGTAAGACAGAAGTTGAAGAAAGGAAGACTGGTCTAATATTCACTGAGCCTTAACATTTGCTAGTATTGATGGAGGATATAAAATCGGATTCTCACTTGCCTCCCTCATCCACATTCTGTATCTCCCCTACTTTACTTTTTAAGCCTTGAAAACAAGCCAGGTGCCATGGCTCATGCCTGTAATCCCAGCACTTTGGGAGGCCAAGGTGGGCAGATCACTTGAGGTCAGGAGTTCAAGACCAGCCTGTACAACATGGTGAAACCCTGTCTCTACTAAAAATACAGAAGTTAGCCAGGCATGGTGGTGCATGTCTGTAATCCCTGCTACTCGGGAGCCTGAGGCAGGAGAATCACTTGAACCCGGGAAACGGAGGTTGCAGTGAGCTGAGATAGTGCCACTGCACTCCAGCCTGGGCAACAAGAGTGAGACTCCATCTCAAAAAAAAAAAAAAAAAATTAAATACAATGGAAAACTTTATTGAGATATAATTGATATATAATAAACTGTACATATTTTAAGGGTACAATTGATAATTTTGACATGCATATATACCCGTGAAACCATCACCAAAATCAAAATAATGAATATATCCATCATTCCCCAGAGTTTCCCCATTACTCTTTATAAACCCTTCCTCCTACCCTTCCTGCCCACCATCCCTGCTTAACAACCACTGAGCTGCTTTCTGTCATTTTAGATTAGTTTCCATTTTCTAGACTTTTATATAAATGGAACTGTAGAGTATATTCTTTTTTTTTTTTTTTTTTTTGATCTAGCTTCTTTCACATAGCATAGTTTTTTGAGTTTTGTCCCTGCAATAACATGCATCAATTGTTCATTTCTTTTTATGGCTAAATAGAATTTCATTTTATAGATATACCACAGTTTGTTTTCCTTTCCTTATTTTGTTTTACTTTCTCTATAGTATTTATCACCTTTTGACATTATGTATATATTTTTGTTTGTTTGTTGTCTCCCAGAATGCAAGCTCCCTGAGGACAGGGACTTTGTATACTGTTACAGCCACAGTGCTTGGCATATAGTAGGCACCTAATAAGTATTTGTTGAATGACTTGTATCTTGCGTTAGACCTTTAGTTAAAACAACAACACGGCTTTGATATGATGTTGATGTTTTGATCATTTATCCTGGAAAGCAATATTGGGTTGGCCAGAGACATACATTTCAACTGGAAATCATAACTGGAATTTTGAAAATTGTTTCTTGATTTTCTTCTTATTCATTTATTATAATCAGGAAAAATCAATTATAGGAATAAAGACTGATCTTTTTTTAAGGGAAAAAAGAAATAAAAAGAAAAAAGAAATAAAGAGAGAAAGAAAGAAAAAAAAAAAGAATGAAAAAGAGAAAGAAAGAGGGAGAGAGAATGGGAGTCTTGCTCTATTGCCCAGGCTAGAATGCAGTCTAAAAATAGGTATTAAAAACCTCTTTTATGCCAATAATTGTGCTTAACAATGGAGACAAGAAGGAATAAGGGAGGAAAATAAACAAGCAGCCAACCAATATTTCATTTAAACCTGTGAAATACTATACAGTTACTGAGGAGTGATTTACTTCCAGTAATGTAGTCATTTTTAGAGTAGGTGTGATGTGGTACTGAGAAGAATGTATGTTTTGTGGATTTGGGGTGGAGAGTTCTGTAAATGTTTAAGTTTACTTGTTCCAGGTCTGGAGTTCAAATCATAGATGTCCCTGCTAATTTTCTATCTCGTTGATCCATCGAATATTAACAATGTGGTGTCAAAGTCTCTCGCTATTATTGTGCGGGAGTCCGAGTCTCTTTATAAGTCATTAAGAACTTGTCTTATGTATCTGGGTGTTCCTATATTGGGTGCATATATATTTATGATCATTGACTTCTGTTGTTGCATTGATCCTTTTACCATTATGTAATGTCCTTCTTTGTTCCTTTTAGTCTTTGTTACTATTAAAGTCTATTTTGTCAGAGACGAAAGTTACAACTCCTGTTTTCTGTTTTTTGTTTTTTTTTTTTTTTTTCTTTTGCTCTCCATTTGATTGGTAAGTCTTCCACCAACGCTTTGTTTTGAGTCTTTGTGTGTCCTTGCTTATGAGATGGATCTGGATACAGTGAACTGATAGGTTTTGACTTTTTATTCAATTTGCCTGTCTGCATCTTTGGTTGGGGCATTTAATCCATTTAAATTTAGGATTAATGTTGATATTTGTGAGTTTAATATGTCATTTAATGCTAGCTGGATATTTTGCCCATTAGTTGATATAGATTCTTCATTATAAAGATACTCTTTACCTTTTGGTAAGTTTTTGGGATGACTGATACTGGTTGTTCCTTTCTGTGTATAGAGTGCTTCTTTCAGAAGCTCTTGTAAAGCAGGCCTGGTGGTGATGAAATATCTGAGTCCTTGCTTGTTCGTGAAAAATTTTATTTTTCCTTCATTTATGAAGCTTAATTTGGCTGGATATGAGATTCTGGGTTGAAAATTCTTTTCTTTGAGGATATTGAATATTGACCCCCACTGTCTTCTAGTTTGTAGGGTTTCAGCTGAGAGATCTGCTGTGAGCCTGATGGGCTTCCCTTTATGGGTAACCTGATCTTTCTCTCTAGCTGCCCTTAGAATTTTCTCCTTTATTTCAACTCTGGTGAATCTAACGATTATGTGTCTTGGGGTTGCTCTACTTGAGGAATATCTTTGTGGTGTTCTCTGTATTACCTGAAGTTGAGTATTTTCCTGCCTTACTAGGTTAGGAAAGTTTTCCTGAATAATATCCTGAAGAATATTTTCCAGCTTGGATTTATTCTCTTCATGACATTCAGGTACACCTATCAAACGTAAATTAGGTCTTTTCACATGTCCCATATCTCTTGGAGACTTTGCTCGTTCCTTTTTACTCTTTCTTCTCTAATCTTGTCTTCTCATTTCATTAAGTTGTTCTTCGACCTCTGATATCCTTTCTTCTGCTTGATCAATTCTACTATTAAAACCTGTGCATACTTCACAGAGTTCTCATATTGTATTCTTCAGTTCCATTAATTCACTTATATTCCTCCCTAGATTGTCTATTCTCGTTAGGATTTCAGCAAACCTTTTTTCAAGGTTCTTAGTTTCTTTACCTTGGGCTAGAACATGTTCTTTTAACTCACAGAAGTTTCTTATTATCCACCTTCTGAAGCCTAAATCTGTTAATGGAACGCACTTGTTCTCCATCAGGCCTTGTTCCCTTGTTGATGAGGAACTGCGATCCCCTGTAGAGGGAGAGACATTCTGATTTTGAGTATTCTCAGCCTTTTTACGCTGGTGTCTTCCCATCATTGTAAATTTATCCACCTGTAGTCTTTGTAATTACTGACTTTCAAATTAGGTCTCTGAGTGGACGCCCAACTTGTTGATTACCAGCGCCAGAATCTGAGCAACCCACTGCGCTGGCTAAAACAGCTGCGTTAAGATTCGTGGTGCTTTTCTGCTCGGGAATCTCGGGTCTGGCTTCCCTCTTGAGTCCCTTTTTCAATCAGCTGAATAGGCCACTCTGCCTTTCCCGGAGCTCCAAACGTTGACCAAAAGGGGACCCAGTCCCATTTACTCTGCACCAAGAACTGCCGTCCCTGGGCACTGGCAAAACCTCCACGCCGGCCACAAGAGTCATGCTGGCGACCCGTGGGGCTCCTCCGCTCGGAATCTCCTGGTCCGTGAGCAACAAAAATTCGTCTGAAAGTGTGGTGTCCTCTCGTTCTCTGCGCTTTCACTAGGAGCTACATTCCTGAGCTGCTAGTAATCAGCCATCCTGGATCTCTCTCCAAGACTGATCTTTTAAAAGACAAATTGGTCTTAATATTCACTGAGCCCTAACATTTGCTAGTATTGGTGGAGGATATAAAATCTGATTCTCACTCACCTCCCTCATCCACATTCTGTATCTCCCTTACTTTACTTTTTAAACCTTGAAAACAAGCCAGATGCCATGGCTTATGCCTGTAATCCCAGCACTTTGGGATTATATAAATATTGATGTTCAATGATGTGTTTTTGGTGCTATAAATTAGTTTATGCAGAATTTATGAGTCAAATCTAGGCAGTTAATTCTCATGGTTATTCAAAAAGAGTCAGTCATAAGGACAATTGGGAGAAAGCAGGGGTTAAGATGAAACACTAATTTTAAATAATTAAAATTTTACTGTATCTCAAAAGAAATGGATGTTTGCCCTGTTTGCCATGTGTGAGTGTATGTGTGTGTTGAGAGTGTGTGGGTGTTGGGGGGTGTGTGTGTGTGAGAGAGAGATCCTGCTTACTGAAATATGAAAACTTTGTTTCAGGATCAGATTTGCAAGTATGTCTCCCTAAGGGCCCAACATGCTGCTCAAGAAAGATGGAAGAAAAATACCAACTAACAGCACGATTGAACATGGAACAGCTGCTTCAGTCTGCGAGTATGGAGCTCAAGTTCTTAATTATTCAGAATGCTGCAGTTTTCCAAGGTGAGTTCTGGGGATCATTTTAGATGTGCTGCTCAATGGCATCATTATTTGGGCACTAGGCTTTCAAGTGCTAAGTATAATTTATAAATTACCATTCCAGCATTAATGCTTGATATTAAAAACCTCCCAGTAAGAGATTCTAGTTAAAAAAACAAAAGAAAACAAAACACATTTTCAGAGAAGCTTCGTTTCAATCTTTGGAAAGGTGGGTATTGTCAAAAAATCATTGTCCAAGGACATTCTGTTTACCGGTATATAAAGATTATAAATCTCTACAGAAAGAATAAATAATATTTTCTCTCAGCTTGATTCAAAAACAAACAAAAAAGTTTTCTTAAATACTGAGCCTAGTTTTCTCCAGGAATGAGTTAGATGCTTGTGGGATACATGTGAACTCCTTCTGACCACTAGGACCATTTCCATTTAAGAGGGAGACACTGGCTTGTTGGCTCAACATTTTCCCATTTGTGTGAGTGGTGACCTCTCCTCTCTTTGTGACTTTCACTTCTTACCATGTCTGTGAATGATTGTGAAAGAAGCTGTTGTGGCATAGCCAGAATGGGTAGTAAATGACCGTTCTCCTTGCTAACTTCTAGGGCTATCACAGCAGGATGGGGAGTAGGTCCCTCAATTCTAACACCCAGCTAGGAAAATGATGATGATGATGATGATGATGACGATGATGGAGGTGGTGGTGGTAGTGGTGATAGCAAGCACTTATATGGCACTATGTCCTAGGTACTCTTTTAAGTGGTTTACATATATTAATTCATTTTTTTTTTTTTTTTTTTTTTTTTGAGACAGAGTCCTGCTCTGTCGCCCAGGCTGGAGTGCAGTGGTGTGACCTTGGCTTACTGCAACCTCCACCTCCTGGGTTCAAGCAATTCTCCTGCCTCAGCCTCCTGAGTAGCTGGGATTATAGGAACCCGCCACCATGCCCAGCTAATTTTTGTTTGTATTTTTAGTAGAGACAGGATTTCACCATGTTGGCCAGGCTGGTTTTGAACTCCTTACCTCAAGTGATTTGCCTGCCTCAGCCTCCCAAAGTGCTATAATTACAGGCATGAGCCACCATGCCCGACCATATATTAATTCATTTAATCCTCACATTATAATTATGAGTGGATATTAGTATCCTTATTTTGTTGATGGAAATCTAAGGCACAGAATGATTAAGTAACTTGCTCAAGGCCACAAAATTAATAAATAAATGGCGAAGGCAGGATTTGAACCCAGGTGGCATGGCTCTTAGAGTCAAATCTTTTAACTCTCTCCATTGGCTGTCTCTTGTGACTGGGAAAATTAATTATGGATATTCACAATTAATTATCAGGTTTTCTTCTATCCCTCCTCAAGCAGAGGGAATCAGCTGCTTTTTTCTTGCCTCACCAAGAGAGGATCAGGGTCAGATAGAAAGATAACACTTCTGACTGCTTAACATTGCAAAGCTTGAGATTTATGGCACTGTTACAAGAATTAACCTCTTTGAATTGTAAGGTAAGTTGATTATAGCTTATTTTGTGTATTACAATGAAATCATTAGAATTAGCTAAGAAAGTCATTCAGATTAGTCAATAAAGGCTACATTCACAACAGTTTCTTGGGTCAAAGTCTTAGGGGATGTAAGGTTGATTATATGAAGTATAATATATAAGCCTGAAGTATTTGTTAACGTATTTGTGCAGTCAGACTCTTGTGAAGAGTTTGTTGAGACTAATAATTTGGTGATAGAATGAGTAATTTAGGCAGATTTTAAAAATACATGTAGCATTCATGAACTTCTTAGATTGGTTTTAGAGTTGATCTATTGGATAAAAGTGGGGTGATAAATGATGTGACATGAGAATTGAGTTGAAGCAGAGAGCTGAATCTTACTCTTTGGGGCATCATCCCTTTTTAGAACAGAGTATTAGTGATTTGTTTAATTCTAGAATAACCAAGCTCACAGATATTACCTTACAATCCTTGTCTAGCTGGAGGGGAGTGGTAGAGTGATCATACTGGTATTTTAATATGCACAGTAGCTGACATGGCTATCTGAGGGCCCCAGCTGTCAGTATTTACATCTCTGTCTAGTTCTGCACTTTGTATACTATGTTTTCTAGATGTGGAAAATTATGAGACTAGGAGAGAAAAGAAGTACTGACAAGATTTTGGTTGGATTAGCATCCAGATAAGCCTCCTATAGCTTGGAGGCTGAATACTAGTCCTGTGAACAGAGGATAGAAAACGGGGACAGCATCTACTAATTGTATCTCTCTCTCCCTTTCTCTCTGTCTCTTTCACTTACACACATACACACATACACACACACTTTCTTTCTTGAATTGTGGGGATAGACAGAAGGTGAACCCTAGCAAAGGAACATGGAGACAATGAAATGATGCCTGAGCTCATTATTGCTAGTGCCCTCTACTTTGTCACCATCTGTACTCATTATTTATCTTGTTTCACTGCCTCTTCTCATTCTTTTCCTGCCTCACTTTTAGAAAAAAATAGACCCCACAAAGAAAAATAAACCATGGTCCCAGAACTCAAGGCACTTGTACAATGTTTCAAAAGACATTACCCCGAAATCCTTCTGTAACAAACATTTGGAGAGACAAGACTTCAAATGAGATCACTACAAGATGATGTATTATTAATTGCTAAGCAAAAGAAAGCATCCACTTCTATTTTTCTTATGACTGTTTATTATTCCAATGAATTGAAATTAGGAGACACAATTGTTTTCCCTCTAAAATACATCCCCTCTTCAATATTCTGGTAGGCCAAATTAGTGAGAAAACCACCCCAATACTTGACTCGTATGAAATTTGATGTGACAGCTTTTGCTAGCTATTTTCTCCATCACATGAAGTTGAAGAAAGCTCATCTTGATCTTGGCTTAGATCCACAATCTCTTTAGCATTCCTTCACTAGTCCACATTGGGGGTATTTAAGCAGTGAGTGCTTTCTGCAAAAATATGTGCACAGTTCCACGAGCAATCCTTACTGCCTCGATTTGGATTTTATGTCTTCATTTGCAGGAAGCCTTTGCCCTCATAAATGAGCCTGGGGCCCTTTGCTACAGTGGTTGGAGTGCTCTATTGCTAATGTTGTTTTGATAATGAGTGAAGCATTTAAAAAAGTTGTTCTTTATTTTCAATCTTTGCATTGCCTCGTTTCCTAAATTTAATTTACTTAGATGTGCTTAGTAAAATGGGGCAGCACAATCGTTTTTTGTTTCTGCTTAATTAATTCTTTCTGAAAAACTCCACTAAAAGTAGATTTTCCTATTTTCCTTTCTCTTTTTCTTTTTCTTCTCCTGTACCTTAAAATAATTATGATGATAATAATAGTGCTTACTATATGATGCTGACTTTTACATGATTATCTCATTTAATTTTCCCAACAGACCTACAAGGTCTGTACTATAATTATTTCCATTTTACAGATGAGGAAACTCATTGATGCCACAGCTTCTTCTGAACTATCGTGTGACATGACTTTCCTTATTCTTAGTGTGCTTGAGGTAAAACAAAATTGAGAAGCTGAATTTGTGATTCTTGTGAAGAAAAATGGAATAGAATTCTGAAATTTTCATCATCTCACTACCACCTCTATACCTTCAAGCCTTGAGTTCTATTTTCTTTGTAGAATTTTATTCTGATTTTCAGCCTTGTACTATCAAGAAATACTTGGGGTACATCCAGGTCTTTTCTAGATGTTGGATGATTCTAGTCTTTCCCAAGGTACCACTGACTTTGAGTGATAACAGACTCTTTTATACATGGCAATACCTTGCTTTTTCTGGAATTTGCCTATCCCACAACTTGAACTCTCCTTATCAGAAAGGAAAAATAGTGGTTCAGCAGGAAATCGTCTCATCTGGAAGGTCTTTTTTTTTTTTTTTTTTTGAGACGGAGTTTTGCTCTTGTTACCCAGGCTGGAGTGCAATGGCACGATCTCGGCTCACCGCAACCTCCGCCTCCTGGGTTCAAGCAATTCTCCTGCCTCAGCCTCCTGAGTAGCTGGGATTACAGGCACGCACCACCATGCCCAGCTAATGTTTTGTATTTTTTTTAGTAGAGACGGGGTTTCACCATGTTGACCAGGATGGTCTCGATCTCTCGACCTCGTGATCCGCCCGCCTCAGCCTCCCAAAGTGCTGGGATTACAGGCTTGAGCCACCACGCCCGGCTTCATCTGGAAGGTCTTTAGGTCCTTGCTTAGAGCCTACTACTGTTCCATGTTTATACGTAGTCTTTATACATTTGATTTTCTGGCTTTCTAGTCAGTAACAGAGAAGCAGTTAAATAGAAGGGTGGTGGAAGGCTGCTAGGGGAAGGTACATATGAGCAGCAAGAAGTTATAAGCAACATTAAGGGTGGGGGACCTAAAAGTGGACTTAAGAACTCACTAAATGTGGCAGTTGGAGACATTTAATAGAGGACCATACTCATACATGCCACAATGGCTCCTGTATTACATTAGGTCCAAGTGATGTTTACAATGATGGTTACAAGTAAATAAGGAAAGCTCAACTTACGTTCACTGTCTTTTTCTTAATATTTCCATTTTAAATGGCTAAAATGAATTTTTTCAGTGCTTAAGATCATTGAAAGAAACAATGGACTTAGAACATCTAAGTTCAAATTCTAGATCTGCATTTATAAGCTTTATGGTTTGGGGCAGTTATTTAGACTCCAGTAGCCTCAGTTTTCATATGTGCAAAATGGGGATAAAAATTGCAGTCCTGCTTACTTTTGTAAAGTAGAAATTATGAATGTGAAAGTGTCTTGAAAACTGTAAAACACTGTATGCATGCATTATCTAGACAGCTCATTTATGTGGACTGCTTCACCCCAGGTGGTGCCAAATAAATGATGCATTATCATTACAGACATTAACCTCAACAAGGCTGGAGTTCATGATGTACTTCAACAACTTTTGCCACATATAGATGATATATATGCAAACAGCTCCAGTGCACAGGCGAAAGAGTACTTAGGCAAAAG